CTGATGTAAGCATAACTAGAATATATGTACACACCAACATAAAACTTGAGCGTTTGTTGTTACTCCATCACACAGAAAAAGCCTGCCATTCAGCTGCTGAATTCAACATTGCGCTTTGATATAGCTTGACCACATTTCCTCTGCAGCATATGCATTCCAGCATATCATTTCTTTTACTCTCTGGCCATAGCTCGGCATACTCACTCATGAGTACACTCACTCACACTCATTCATACTCATTTGAGTGTGGTGAGTGTGAGTATGAGTGAGTACTCATGAGTATGAGTAGCAGTCAGTAGAACGTGAGTGAGTACTTATGAGTATGAGTAGGAGTGAGAATGGATGTGAATGAATACTTTCAGTGTGAGTAGAAGTGAGTATGAACGTGAGTGGGTGCTCATGAGTGTCAGTAGGAGTGAGTATGAACGTGAAAGAGTATTCTGAGTGTGAATAGGAGTGAGTATGAACGTAAGTGACTACTCTGAGTGTGAGTATAAGTGAGTATGAATGTGAGCGAGTTCTCTGAGCGTGAGTAGAATTGAGTATGAACGTGAGTGAGTATTGTGAGTGTGAGTAAGAGTGAGTATGAACGTGAGTGAGTACTTTGAGTGTGAGTATGAGTGAGTATGAACGTGAGTGAGTACTCATGAGTGTGAGTAGATGTGAATTTGAACGTGAGTGAGTACTCATCAGTGTGAGTATCCGTGAGTATGAGCGTGAGTGAGTATTCATCAGTGTGAGTAGGAATGAGTGAGAGCTTGTGAGTGTGAGTAGGAGGGAGTATGAACGTGAGTGAGTACTCTGAGTGTGAGAAGGAGAGAGTATGAACGTGAGTGAGAACGTGGGTGAGTAGGAGTTTGAACATGAGTTAGTACTGATGAGTGTGAGAATTCGTTAGTATGAACGTGAGGGAGTATTCATGAGTTTGATTAGGAGTGAGTGAGAGCTCATGAATGTGAGTAGGAGTAAGTACGAACATGGGTGAGTACTCATGAGTGTGAGTAGACTTGACTGCGAAGGTGAGTGAGTTGCTGTGAGTGTAAGTAGTGACGAGTAGGAACATGAGTGAGTTACTATGAGTGTGATAAATATTTGTAACCGTCGCAACGGCATCCTCAATACATTGGAAATAACGGGCACTATGGCATGCAAGCTTACTGTGCGTAAAAGCCTTCAGTTAGTTTGGAAACTGGGGGAGCCATCCTACATCAAATGGGGGGGGGGGGGGGAGGCGAGGTTACCGGGAAAAACTCGAGTTGAGGGTAGCCGAACATTTTATTGTAATTTAAATTTTCTAGGCTGAATAACTTTGAACTGCCTGTCCCTATAGCTACCGTTCTTGCTGCACTTATCTCTTGCGCCTTCAGTTTACGCAACCCACTGATAATACATGTAAAACAAGGTCTTGAGAAGCCCTTTAACAAAAATCGCCACGCGAGCCGGTTCAGAAGAAAGAAATGCACTGCACAAGAGAAAAAAAAAACGCTGAAATGGCCCGCGAGAGAAAGCACATTGTGTGCGCGACGCACGTTGGGCGCAGCGATTTTGCAGTTTCTATCTCTGTGTTGTCCCTCAAGTGAATGTTGCCTTGAACGAAAACCTTAAGTGATCTCATGACCTCTCAAACGCGAAGCTGTGTGCAAACTTCGCTTTCTCAGTGCCCCATTAAGAAAAAAAAAAAGGAAAGCTTGGAGTACGGCTGAGCTTCCCCGTCAATAGTATAGTATGCGATAGCGTAATCGGACCCTGTTCGCATCGCCGTTTCAATCTCTACTCTCGCTTCAGTTTTCGGCGGCTTATTATGCCTTCAACAGTGCAGACACAACGTGCAATAAGCGCCCAATCACCCTTGATAATTTATTCTATCATTCACATAACGCGGGCTAATACAAAAACACACATAACGCAACTCGTTAATTACCGTTTTATTCGGCTGTCCGCGATAACCCTGCGTACGTACACTGTCAATGAACGTTAACCGCGTCCGCAGATTCATAAATAAGGCCCCCTGCAATCGTGTGTGCCGGCACGGAGCCAACGAAGTCTCCGCGTGAGCGCGACCCAAAGAGAAAGGAAAACATCTCCGAAGATGCGCACAATTTCTCGAATGCAAAACTGCCGTACGCAACGCATTCCATCTGAAGGCGAGGCAGAGGGGGAGGCGCCGTCTCGACGGTTGCGCCGGGCCACAGAACACCTACCAGTGGCCGGGCGGCCGGGGTGGCCGGGGTGGCCGCGGCGCCCGCCTGTCCCGCTAGTGCAGTCAGAAGGAGGGGCTAGGGGCAGTGGAATGAACGAAGCGGCCGAGCCGGGTGGCATGGCAACGTCTTGGGTTCTGGCGGGTAATCAGCGGCAGCTGTGTAGTATACTGAAGCTGTCGAGAGCGTCTCCATTTCGCGCGCGTGTGTCGTAGCCTAGGAAAGCGCGTTTTGAGTGCTTGTAACACATTACTGAGATTCTAAACGATGTCTCAGCGTCTCCTACGCGTCAAGGCACACAAATGAATGTGCAGGTGCGTAGTAATTGCGCTGAATCATTGCCTGTTTGTGGAACCTACCGACCGTTAAAGAAAGCGACAATCGTTCAGCTCGATTGTTTATTCAGTAACCGGAGTACACGTAACGCAACCTCAATGTTAATATTCATCATCGGCCTGACAACGTCCACTGCAGGACAAAGGCCTCTCCCATGATCCGCCACTCAACTCGGTCCTGTGCTTGCTGCTGCCAATATATACCCTCGAACTTCCTAATCTCATCTGCCCACCTAACATACTGTCTCCCCCTAACCCGTTTGCTTTCTCTGGAAATCCGGTCAGTTATGCTTAATAACCAGCTGTTATCCTGTCTACGCGCTACATGCCCGGCCCATGTCCATTTCTTCTTCTTGATTTCAACTATGATATCCTTAACCCCGGTTTGTTCCCTGATCCACTCTTCTCTCTTCTTGACTCTTAAGGTTACAACCACTATTTTCCTGTCCATCGCTCTCCGCGTCGTCCTCAATTTAAGCTGAACCCTCTTTGTAAGCCTCCAGGTTTCTGCTCACTAGGTAAGTACCTGGCAAGATGCGGCTGTTATATACCTTCGTCTTGAGGTGATAGTGACATTCTACCAGCCATGAGCTGAGAATGCTTGCCGAATCTTCTCCACCCCACTCTTATTCTTCTATATACTTCAGTCTCGTGGCTCGGCTCCGTAGGTACTACCTGTCCTAAGTAGACGTATATACCTTTTCCAACTTCAAGTGCACTGCCACCTATCTCGAAGCGCTGTTTTCTTTCGAGGTTGTTGTTCATTAATTTCGTTTTCTGGCGGTTATTTTGTAGATTCTAAGATAAGGAAAGCGGGAAAAGTGGAGACAAAGTTTGGTGGGCAGATGAGATTAGGAAGTTTGCAGGTATGAAGTGGCAACAGCAAGCAAAGGACAGAGTTGACTGGCGGAACAGGGGAGAGGCCTTTGTCCTGCTGTGATGATGATGAGTATGTGAATGTAAAAGTACGTGGGTGAGTGCGCCTGAGTATGGGTAGGCGTAAGTATGAAGGTTAATTCTTATGTGAGTGCGGATGTGAGTGAGAGCCTATGATCTTGAGCAGGCGTGAGTATGAAGGTGAGTGAGTAACTATGAGTCTTAATTGAGGTGCACGAAAAATTGAAGTACAAAAAGGAGACACCTGGACATGGCGCGCTGTCTCGAGGTGTCTTCCTTTTGTACTTCAATTTTTCGCGCACCTCAGTTAAAATGAATTACCAACTCGCCCAGCAGTCCGAGTTCCTCTAAGAGTGTGAGTAGTCGTGAGTATGAACGTGAGCCATGAACGATGAGTGTGAGTAGGCGTGAGTATGAACGTGAGTGAGGGCCTATGAGTGCTAGCTGGCGTGAGTATGAACGTGAGTGAGTACTCACAGGTGTGAGTAGTTGTGAGTATGAAATGATTGAGTACTCATCAGTGTGAGTAGTCGTGAGTATGAACGTGAGTGAGGGCCTAGAGTGTGAGTTGGCGTAGGTTTGAACGTGAGTGAGTACTCATGAGTGTGAGTAGGAGTGAGTATGAACATGAGTGAGTACTCTGAGTATGAGTATAAGTGAGTATGAACGTGAGTGAGTACTCATGCGTATGAGTAAGAGTGAGTATGAACGTGAATGAGTACTTTCAGTGTGAGTAGAGGCGAGTTTGTACGTGAGTGAGTACTCATGAGTGTGAGTAGGAGTGAGTATGAACGTGAGTGAGTACTCTGAGTGTGACAAGGAGCGAGTATGAACGTGAGTGAGTACTTTGAGTGTGAGAAGCAGTGAGTATGAACGTGAGTGAGTAGGAGTGAGTGTGAGAAGGAGTGAGTATGAACGTGAGTGAGTACTCTGAGTGTGACAAGGAGGGAGTATGAACGTTAGTGAGTACTCATGAGTGCGAGTAGGCGTTAGTATAAACGTGAGTGAGGGCCTATGAGTGAGAGTAGACGTGAGTATGAACGTGAGTGAGGGTGAAGGCTGAAAAAATTGTGGTGAGTGAGTATGAGTGAGTAGTCCCTCAGAGTGCCGACCTATGTCTCTGGCGAACACCCACAAGGATTAACTTGTGAACATAGGAATACTGCTATGAAGTGTGCATTATAACACGTACATTCCGGGATTCCACAACGCAAAGAAAAAACTCTAACTTCTTGCCACATAGCAAACCACTGGTGGGGTTAAGGCTAAAACGTCATTTGCTCAGACATCACACCTCACTGTTAAAATGGTTTCGTTCCATCTTATGATCCAATATCTCTTTGTGGAAGACCACATCTCTATACCGGCATAGGCACGCACGAATGGACGCGCACGCACGCACGCACAACAGCAGCGGAGTTGGTATGCCTTACCCACATGTATTGCTATATAATCAAAGTTTTTTTTTATTCGTTTCACACTTACTGTACACATCCTGATGCTTTAACTGATATCAAACGCTCATTCAACGTCGTTCAGACAAGTTGATGTCCTCTGCTTTTCCTTCCAGCTGGTTGCGAGCAGTACGTCTGGGATTCACATGCTAAGAAAACTGTTAGAGCCTGTGACAAAGCGTATAAGCGTTTTTGTGGCAAGAAGCGGTACTTAATGTACAAGAGGACTTGCAAACTGTGAAAGCTTGCTCTGCTATTTCACTGAGAACCTGGTCTATGGATCGCAGAAACAATAAAGCTTTTTACTGAATTCGCTATTGTATTTCACGACTTCTTGTCCTCTTATGCAGCATGCTAGTATATCCTGACGAAGGCCGTGCCACGGCCGAAAGGTAGAGTAAACAACTATCAAATTTTCGTAAGTTTTCGTAAGTGTGTAATATATATATATTGTAAAGAAGGGGAAGTACTCCGGCACAGAGGCAGCAGCATCGAGCGTGCAGCATAGCGACTCGAGCTCGTGAACTGCGGCTGGTGCATAGCCAGACTAGCAACAACCTTTCCGTTCTATAAATCTCCTTTATATTTGGTGGAGCCGTGCTGGGTAGCGTCCCCTATACCTTTCCGCTACCATCCTGGAACTCCGTGCTTGACGGCTACCTTCTGCTATGCCGGACGCCGATCAGCAGACGCTTCCATCTCCTCCGGCCTCTTGTCCAGGCACTGTTCCTAGGCGGGAGCCTCCAATTTTCAGCGGGACAGATGACAATGACGTTGAAGATTGGCTCTCAACTTTCGAACGGGTGAGCGCTTTGAACAGATGAACGGACGCGGAGAAGTTGACACGCATGTCGTTCTACCTCGCGGGTGTAGCCAGCCTTTGGCTTAGAAAACACCAGGGAGACAAAGCAGCAAACTACGCATAGTCGCTCATAGTAAAACATAGAATAGCAGGATAACTTCTTAAATGAGCAAAAGAAAAAGAAATAGATGAATAAGAACAAATATAATAAGGACTACAATTAACATGATACAAAAAGTGCGCAAGGCATGTATGTTCAAAGCCATGAGTGACGCAGGCGACAGGCATTACGTACGGCATTACAGGCATTACGTCAAGGGTGATTCCACGAGACATCGACACGGGTCCAAAAGTTCATATTTTAGATTTCATTGAGTAATTCATATTTCGTGCACCTCTCACAAGGTAGCCCGAAAGTCAACTTTGTTTGATGATTAACGGCATAACATTCGCACTGTGGATACTTGCGCACAAGTATCCACAGTGCGAATGCAAAACTGAAATATAGTACGTTAAAATGAATTTCACAATGTTTTTGTCGATAAAATTACGGGAGGCGAAATTTTTGTCGCTACTTTGAACCATACGATCTAAAGCATTGCCTCCGAGATGAGGCGCACAGCAATTCATTTGTAGAGCAGACGACGGATGACAACTTGCCCTAAAGCGTGTTCTTCAGTCTAATGCGGCAGTCCTCGTGCTCCAAATGATAAAAATTTGTTATGAATCGTTTATGAACTCATTAAACATTCTATTCTCTTACCCAACGTGTTGACAACACATGGCCGTCACAGCAGCTCCATCTGTGTGTCAGTAATGGAGAGGCACCACATATTGCCCCGCCGCGGTGGTCTAGTGGCTTAGGTACTCGGCTGCAGACCCGCAGGTCGCGGGTTCGAATCCCGGCTGCGGCGGCTGCATTTCCGATGGAGGCGGAAATGTTGTAGGCCCGTGTGCTCAGATTTGGGTGCACGTTAAAGAACCCCAGGTAGTCGAAATTTCCGGAGCCCTCCACTACGGCGTCTCTCATAATCATATGGTGGTTTTGGGACGTTAAACCCCACATATCAATCAAGGCACCACATATTAGAAGTCTCAGTGCTCTACGTATAAGAGTTATAGATATATTTGTGGGGTTTAACGTCCCAAAACCACCTTATGATTATGAAAGACGCCGTAGTGGAGGGCTCCGGAAATTTTGACTACCTGGGGTTCTTTAACATGCACACAAATCTGAGTACACGGGCCTACGACATTTCCACCTCCATCGGAATTGCAGCCGCCGCAGCCGGGATTTGAACCCGCGACCTGCGGGTCAGCAGCCGAGTACCTTAGCCACTAGACCACCGCGGCGGGGCTAAGAGTGAATTCAGATACTTTAGAATACCGTATTCAAAATAGTTACTCCTATCTGCTAAAACAGCCTTTCTTCACCAAATGCGGTCACGTTTACTCGCGTTTGAAGCATATTGCCGCTTTTCTGTTGCGATTTCTAGATTTCTCAACTTGTCAGCGCATTCTCGAAAAGCTCTGATTTGTACCACGAATATTGTCGCAAAAACAAATTAATGCAGCATGTTTTTCTATATTACTGTATGATGGCCTTCGGTTGTCTATTTACGAGATTTTAAGAAAAATTCAAATTTCAGTGGAGTACACTTTTTCCGATATGGGAATATTGCAGCAATATATAAAAAAATTACACTTGCCCTACGGCAGCAATAGTTTATGTACCTAATGAACACACTATATCCTTAAAACGTGTAAAGTTTGAAAACGCTGCTTGCATTACTTTCGGAGCAAAAAAATGGGGAATACGCAACTTACTTTAAACTGTCGCAAAATTAGACATTTTTAAAAGCTATTTCCTTAACGTCTACAAACTTGAAACCGAATGAATTCATTCTTCATTAGACATGCATTTCAGATAAAAAAATATTTTTCTTGAAACAAAAACATTTGTATTTTTATAGTATCTGCAATTTTCGAAAACGGCAGGTGACGAAATCGGTGCCTCCGTGTTGGTGAAGTTTGATATTTATTTTCTCGTAAGCTATGCCGTTAGACATAAAACGAAGTTGACTAGACTTTCGGGCTACCTGGTGAGAGGTGCACAAAATATAAAATACTCAATGAAATCTAAAATATCAACTTTTGGACCCGTGTCGATCTCTCGTGGAATCACCCTCAAATAGTTGAACTAGTATACATCACACATTCACCAGTCATTGCTAAAATTTCATGATTAACTATTCTCGAGCTTCCGTTCATTTCCTTCGAAAAAGTTCCGAATTTTCAAATTAGGAGTGACTCTCTAACTTCGCAATTATGATGTGGTTTGAAACCTGATTCAATTATTTTGTCTCGAAAGTTACTGAAACAATGACCGGTGTTGGCGACATGTCTTGAAATTGCTAAGTTAGCAAAGGCATGTACATGAGCTTTATTATTCCTGAAGCGGTACCTAAAAGCAGTTTAATTTTGACCGATGTATTGTAGATGACAGATTGAGCACTTCAGTGAATAAACAACGTTGTGTGTGTGACAATTGAAATTGCCTGTGATATTTATTTAGAAGCTAGACGCTGTGCTGGTCGCTAGGGTTGTCGTTGACATCTGAGCGCACACTTGCTGCGAGGTTTTCGCAGCGATGGCAGACAGCCATGGGAATGCTGTCATTACATTTTGTTTTAGACGATGTTAGTAAATCGCGTAAATTTTTGCCTCGTGTGTTTACAACACTTGGTTGTTGTGGAAACGCCCGTGCAAGGCTTTCACTCAGCTGAACAATGTTGTGGTCTTTTCGGAGAATACCTATGATATGAGGAGCCGACACAATGTGTGGTAAAACTAAGTTAACCTGTAAATAAATCTTAGAGTTTTTCTTCATTTTGTTGAAAACTGTGCGATCTATTGAGTCAGTGCGCCTCACCGCATCATCGATTAAATTGGTCAGATATTTCTGTTTAGGAAGGGCAGCGCGTAGTTCAATACAATTGGTGTTACAGTCAGACTGTTCGGAGCGAATTCGCTTGAAGCGTAAGGCCTGGTTACATGGTATAGTAGATTTGCAATATCTCTTGTGGCCTCTTTCAACATGTAAGCGTCGGTGCCTGTCGGCGGGCTAAGGGTACAGTTTGGTAGTTAATTTTCTGCAACGCATACAGACTGTGACATCGAGAAAGTTAATGGTGCTTGGTGAGTATGAGTGTTAGCATGATATGCGAGGATTCACATTGATAAAGCCCAAAATCAAAGAAAAAAGTTCTGCTTCTTGGTGCGGCCAAATTATCAAAATGTCGTCAATGAATCTCTTATTGTACAGCATCTTCAACAAATGACATTACAAGAAATTGTTCTCGAAGATTCCCATGAGTATGTTCGCGTAATTAGCCCCTATTTTAGTACCCATAGAGCTACCGCTGACTAGGACATAGTGCACTGCATTGATTTCAAAGTTATTGTAGTGTAGAATCATTTGCAGCAGTATGCATAAAGATCAATAGACTTATCAAAAGTGGAGTGAACATAAGCCTCAGCCGCGGTGCTTTCGGCAGGAGTTTTTCAGGCGGGCCATTGATTTCGACAGCGACTTCTGTTACAGCTTGTGGTTTGAGAACAACCATTATAGTTACCCATTTGTACGGAGTGCTTGGCGGTGATTTTTTTGTTGTTGTTGTTGAGCGAGTGGCACTGAAGTGGCGCTAAAGATATGTAAAAATGTTGTACGCATAAACGTATCTCAAACAGTGGCGTAGTTAAGGTTGCGTAATTACGATGCCAAAAGCAATGTGAGCATACGCATCACCGGAAGCGGTGAGCTGATATTTAGCGCTTGTTCCAGCGAGGAGTGTGGCCCGGGACACTGCTACATAAATTAACTTCAGCGGATACCACCTGACTGCAACTGACATTTACACGACGTCACGCCTGTGTCATTGGAGTACAAATGCAATGTTTTTCACATTGGGTAGCCCTGCACCCCCTCCCCCTCAGCACTGAAATCACAATTGACGTTTCACGAACAGTAAGGCCTATTTGGAAAGCAGTTTCGAGACCTAGTGTGACTATGTGGTAGAACGCTTGATTACCACGTACAGGGCTCGGATTTGACTTCTGCAGCAACTCTGACATTTATCCATGGCAATCGTGCGGTCAACGCTGCTAATTTCAGGTTTTTATAACGCTCACTTGTTGAAATTACCTGAGTGTGCACTCGCCGTTCTTGTCAATCAGCTGTGCACATGCCTTCATACCTGTGACAAGAGGTTGAACAGCGTGCGCGACTGCACTTTCACAACGTTTACGTCGTGACAAGCCAGTCATGTTTGTCAAACACACTTACCCTCTAATACATAATTTGGTTTATTCTAAGTTAAGGATGTGACACGAAGCACCTAGACCATGTAGACTAGATAGATAGATAGATAGATAGATAGATAGATAGATAGATAGATAGATAGATAGATAGACAGATAGAT